TGGGCGCGGCGGGCTAGAATTAATAAGGCATGGCCTCTTAGAGTGACAGGTGGTGAGTGTATCCACCACAAACTGTCTCAGTCTCTCTTCAACTGTTGCTGCTTGCTGTCCATATCGCTCAGAATTAAAGTCATTAAACACCACAGACACCAGCTCATGTTGGTTCAACACGCAGGTCTTGATCTATGTGTCCTCCAGGTCTGCAGATCAGCTGTGTTAGCAGACAGGAGGAGGGCTGGTGATTCAGTTAGTGCTAACTTTGCATGAGATTTCAGGAGTTTTGTGTGTTTGGTATTTTTACAGGAATTCAATCTGTGTGCAGCTAAGAGCACATTAACCGAGTGTGAAATTCATTGTGTGGCTTATACTCTCGCCAGCTGCTTGCAGATGCTGCTTTCTCATTGAGCTGCAGATTATTTAACAGTATTTTTCAACAGTGAAGAAAAACTGATGCCGAAACATCAAATGAACACGAGCCAAAAACCTGAGCAGAAACGTGTCTGTGTGTGATGTCACACTCCAGCCAACATCAAGTGTGTGTGTGTGTGTGTGTGTGTTGTGTGGTGTGTAGTGTAGTGTGGTGTGGTCTGTGGTGTGGTTACTCTACATGCATTGGTTGTGTGTTTTGGCATGCTGTAATATCTACATGATAGTATAGTTGGCACTGTGTCTGTGGTGCTTCAGGGGTTTTTTGTTCTGTGTTGGAAGCATCAGCTGCTCTGTGCTGTGTGTGTGTGTGTGTGTGTTGGTGTGTGTGTGTGTCGGGTGTGTGTGTGCTACTTCGATGCCGGCAGTGCCTGGAAAATGTCGATCTACTCGCTGATCGACGCTGAGCCCAGCCACCAAAGCAATATCCACATATCTTGGCAATTAGCACATCACTCTTCATTCATCCTGCCTTATAACATATAGAGTCACATGTCAGTCCTGATTATCCACAGCGAGCAATTTAACAGAGTCTATCTATGTAATCGTAGAGTGACGATATTAATACTAGATACATGGGTACTTCATTCTCTTCAAAACCTATTTTATAATCTCAAACTCCCCGTCACAATCCTGGTGACCAAGAACCCTTGTCAATGGGGTCTTCCTGCGACTTTGTATCTTTAGCGAGAGAGGGCCGTATGCTTCTGCTAGAGGCGGAGACGCGGTCCATATATTGTTGCGAGCATGTCTTGCTCATTTAGAGAACTGTCGTCAAAGCAAGAGCAAAGTTTACACCTTCCCAAGATCAACGATCAAGGCCAAAAAAAGAGAACATTAAATAAAAAAGGATGCGCCACTATGAAAGAAATAAAAATACCGAGGAGAAGGCCAAATTATAGCGAGCGTGGACCTTGTTGTTATGTGGATTGATCCTGCATCCTGGGTTATATGAGGACTTGTATCTTAAAGGAACTCTGAGACGATGGCAATATCAAAGTGATAGTAATAAAAAACGAGTCATAGAAATTGATAGTTATATCAGGTTGGTAGGCAGAGAACCGGCGATACCACGAGAAGCATGGTCTTTGCCTGCACTGGAAGCCTTGGAGTCATGAAACTAAAGATTTATTTTCTTATTTATTAATGTTCTATATTAAAAATGAAGGTAAAGAGACTATACAGTTTCTAAAATGTGTAATTTAGAATAAATATACGGCACAAAATCTATTTAATTGTTTGTTCACACACAGGTTCTTTCTGTATTTCTAAAAGATACAAAGAGACACTCGTTATGACGGCGGCGCTCGGCAATGCTTTACAAGCCATTTTTTATATTTATGTAAATTTACATAATTTGGTTTCACCAAATTTGATAATAAAGCTTATCAGTTTGATGATAAAAATCTAATATAGTATTCTTCTGTTAATTACAAATTCGCAACTGAGTATTAAGCTATATTAATTTTGGATGTATTCATTAAATCTGTTCCATGGAAATAAATTGATAATCGTATTATGCGACTATGAGAGTGCAATCTAGTAATGCGCGGCGAGTGGTCAACGAAAGTGGCATAGAGAGACGAGGCCGTCAAATTGCTGAGTGAGTGAGCAAAGACCCATTATGTTAAATATGGTAGAAGAGAAAAATACACACATGAAGTGAGCAACATATACTGTACAATATGGTCACAAAAACATAGACTGTATGCATACCATGTGTCAGATAAAAGCTCATACTGCTTACTGTTGGGAAGGCATAAAAAGATTCATAAAAAACGGTCATGGTGACCCATGCGCCACAGGTTGACCGGTAGCTATAGAACATATAAAAAACAGTCCGATGATCAGCGAATGTTATGCAATGCCTGGCTATCGCGTTAAATAATACTATCAGAACAACGACCGTACCTGCTCCAGGCAGCTCCTCCACGCATCTAGCGGCATCCGGACCAAGCTCTACCGCCAGGTGAAGATAAGTTTCGATGAAAAAATCAGTCTGCTCTATCATATGTGTGCTATAATCTCTCTCCGGGGGGGGGGGGGGGGGGTAGAATAATTAAAGGCATGGCCTCTTAGAGTGACAGGTGGGTGAGTGTATCCACCACAAACTGTCTCAGCTCTCTTCACTGTTGCTGCTGCTTCCACTCGCTCAGATTAAGTCATTAAACACACAGACACCAGCTCATGTTGGTTCACACAGACAGGTCTGATCTATGTGTCCTCCAGGTCTGAGATCAGCTGTGTTAGCAGACAGGAGGAGGCTGGTGATTCAGTAGCTGCTAACTTTGATGAGTTTCAGGAGTTTTGTGTGTTTGGTATTTTACAGGAATTCAATCTGTGTGCAGCTAAGAGCATTAACCGAGTGTGAAATTCATTGTGTGGCTTTATCCTGCAGCTGCTGCAGATGCTGCTTCTCATTGTAGCTGCAGATTATTTAACAGTATTTTCAACAGTGAAGAAAAACTGATGCCAGAAACTAAATGACACGAGGCCAAAAACCTGCAGAAACGTGTCTGTGTGTGATGTCACACTCCAGCCAACATCAGTGTGTGTGTGTGTGTGTGTGTGTGTGTGTGTGTGTGTGTGTTACTCTACATGCATGGTTGTGTGTTTGGCATCTGTATATCTACATGATGTATGTTGGCCTGTGCTGTGGTGCTTCAGGGTTTTTGTGTCTGTGTTGGAAGCATCAGCTGCTCTGTGTGTGTGTGTGTGTGTGTGTGTGTGTGTGTGTGTGTGTGTGTGTGTGGGAGTGTGAAATTCATCTCTCTGTGCGGCTGCCAGCACTCAGGCTTAACCATCATTATTTGCATTAGCACTCTTCATCTCCTGCTTTACATTGAGTCATTCTGTCTGATTTCACAGCAGCAATTTACAGTCTTACGAGAACGATGATGATTTTATTACTGTCTGATTCTCTTTTATTTATATCTAAACTAACCCCGTCACATCTGTGACTAGAACCCTGTCATGTCTCCTGGACTGTTCTAGGAGGAGGGCCTGTTCTGTAGAGGGAGACGGGTCCAATGTTCCAGATGTTTTCTGGAGATGTGTCAGAGAAACTTCCCATCACGCAGCAGAGAAATAAGTAGAGTAAAATCAGAAGGAAATTCAGGGGGACCTTGTTGTTATTGTGGATGATCCTGCTCCTGGGTTTTAGGACGGATCTTAAAGACTCTGACAGGAAGTGAAGGATGAGTTAACAGTTGTACAGAGACCGGTCCACAGGCTGTCTGCTGCTGGAAGCTGGAGTCATGAAACTAAAGATTTATTTTTTATTTATGTTAAAAATGAAATATACGTTCATGTGTTTGAATATTGGCTCTATTAGTTTGTTAACGGCTCTATTCAAAGTCATGAGGGGCTGGAATGTTAAAGCCATTTTTTATATTTATTGTAAATTATATTTTCACAAATTTGATAATAAAGCTGATGTAAATCTTTTAACTTATGATTCATATTGAAATGTTAAGTAATTATTTTTGGATTTATTATCTACTGTAATTAATCAGATGATGATCAGCTGTGATGGGGGGGGGTATCTGAGCAAGACTTTGTTATTTAGTTTGAAGAAGAAAGAAATCATCACCAGGTGAGCACACTGCAGTGATCAGCTGTTGCATCATGTGTGAACTCACCTATGTTGGGAGCGACCAGCGCCACAGGGTTGAGGTAGGTGAGCTTCATGTTCTGGGCCAGAGTCTGGGCGTACTGCTCCAGCAGCTCCGTCAGCTCGGCCGGACCACCGCCCGGGATGTGGTTCTGACTGTGAGCGAGAGCCCGCCACAGGCCAGAGGTGCTGGGACCCAACAGAACGCTGGAGCCTCGCAGGACATTCTGGGACGAGGAGACAGAGGAACGATTATCAAAGGAAGGTCCAGGAGGAAGTTTCAGTGTCGTGCTTCAGCTCAGTGACACATGAGACAGTTTATTTCAGACAATGGAAGAGAAGAGAAAAGATGGATTAAGAAAGAGAGAAGTAATAAATATTTCATCACTGTGTATCAGGAAAGAGAGACAGACGCAGAAGACACGAGCGAAGAAGGTCTGGAAAATGTTTTTCTTCTCAAGCAGCATAATGCTAACAACAGCTAACATCAGAGCACAACGTCCTCCAACAATGTCTTCTTCTACACATTAATACAGACGCTCTGATGGCTGCTGTAAATGTTCCTGTTACAGAAGCAGCTCTCCCCCCAGGACACAGAGATAAAGAGCTGACCGCTGTGTACGCTAATGACTGATGTACACCTGGAGGAGCAGGTGAGGAGCAGGTGGTATATGACAGAAAGTATATATAGAGAACATGGACCATCAGAACAGCATAAATGAATAAACACATCTAATAAAATAAGTTCCAACAGCTCCTGACTCCAGAGCCTCTCATTCAGTATCCATGGTCTTCATGTGAAATCTGCTGTAGAGTCAAGATTAGACTGTGTCTGAACAAACAAAGATCAGGGATCAAGACAGAGGCGTGGGGGGGTGGGGGTGGACGTCACCAGACCCAATAAAGCATGCAGTCTCACATAAAGCTCTGGAGAGGAAAAATACGCAAGAAAACCTTCACACAGACAAGAAAAAAAAAATACGCAAGAAAACCTTCACACAGACAAGAAAAAAAAAATATATATATATATATATGTGGAAGCTTGTAGTGAAGAGGAAGAGGGAATGAGAAACAGGGATTGTGGATAAGTCAGTGACAAGGAGGGAAAAGAGAGAGAGAGAGAGAGAAATATGTATGTTCGGGATCAACCGATATGTTTTTCAGGGCCGATACTGATTATTGGTAATCAATGAGACACAGTCGTTTTCATCTCCCTCGGTTTTCTCTGTATTCCTGATGTGGAAACTCTTCCCTCCCTGTCCTAATTCATGTCTTCTGCAGCCACAGGGCTCTGTTCCCGCCACCAGGTTACTATAGTAACGGTGTTCTACATACCTGTTCATCTGCCCTACCAGCTGCCGTTAAAAGTGAGCTGTCAGGTATCAGCAGAAGTGTGACGTGGTGTTCACTGTGGTGTCTGCAGCTGATGACGAGGTGGAGGCAGAGACGGATCTGGAGAAGATGTTTCTAAAGATCAGGACTGAGCTGCTGCCTGACGCTCCTGATCCACTGCCAGGTGAAGCAGTTCAGTGAAAACGTCAGGCAGGTAAAGGATGCTACTGCTGTGTCACTATAGCAACCGATCACATGATCACACGCAGCAGTGTACTGTACTCGGCGTGAGGCTCCAGCTGTGATCCTCATGTTGAATTCACATTGGTTATTTAATGAGTCAGACCCTCACAGAAGAAGCAGTCATCCAGTCATTCATCCAGTCATCTGGTCAGTCAGTCATCAAGTCATTCATCCAGTCATTCATTCATCCAGTCATCCAGTACCAGTGCCCTCAGTGTGTTGTCAGCCTGTTCCTTTGTTCAGTGTTTCCTAGCGACAGCAGCCTGAGCAGCAGGCATGTGTTAAATCACATGTATGTGCAGTTTTTATTTTGTAGTTGAGCGTGAACGCTTCCCTCCTCTGTGACGTCCTGAGATAAACGTGGTTATTTTCTGACTCAGTTTAAACATCTGAAACATTTTCTATCAAATGATCATTTTTATCTTCAGATGTTTTCGAGTGTTTACACGAGGCTACAACACAGCCACTCGGTTTCTATGGCAACGTGTCCTCAGCTGTATAACAATGACATTAGCAGGGTGCTGCAGGGCGTGGCTACGACTGTCCAGCTGTCATCAGGTGGCTAAACGCTGCTATTACTATTATCACTATTACCACTCCATAATACACACAGGGCTGTTTTATAGGATTTATTATTCCTCTGAAAGAAACTATAAATAAACAAATAAACAAATAAAACAAACAAAAACCCTCAGTTACTTTTTTTTTTTGTAACAATTACGAACATGTTCAGGTTGATGGTGTTTATGTTGATGTGTGTAGTTTCCTCATTTTACAGAAAAAATCTATTATTTCATTTTATTATTATAATTAAACAGTTATTATCATTATTCCTGTTTTCGCTCTTATTTTCTATATTTTTTTGTTTGTATTTTGTTGTCTCCTCTGTCCTCAATCTTTCTCTTCACTTGTTTTCTAATCATTTAATAAAGGAAAAAAAAAAGGATGAGAGGTATCAATTTAATAACTGTTTCCATAGTAACAAGCGATTTTGTCAATTAGTGACACACGAGCCAGTAAAGTGAAAGAGTAGTTTAAACAGGTGTGTGTGTGTGTGTGTGTGTGTGTGTGTGTGTGTGTGTGTGTGTGTGTTTGGGGGGGGGGATTGGATGTATGGACAGCTCATTTCCTGTCGGCCCAGCGTGATGCAGAAGATAAATATTGATATCTAAACGATGGTGTGTCGGCTGCTGCGTCCTGTCAGCTGGAATGAGACTCTGTCAGTTAATATGTGCAGATGACATGCTGCAATATTTCACACGCTACTGTCCCTCCATCGCCATAGCAACATCACCTCCCATTTCAGAGAAAAGACATCTATTCCCTGGGTCTATTCTCCATAATGGTACAGTACATCAGTCACATCTGCTGTTCCACATCACTCCAGATGCTGAACAGTTTTAACCATCAAAAGATCAATTAAACTACAAATTAACTGTGTTGACATAAATTGGATTCTTCTTTCTACCTTGTGTCTTTCAAAATAAACTAGAATCACCTCCTCCATGGTTGTTTCCTCCTTCACTTTTAACTAGAATTACCTCTGTCTATCTGTCTGTCTGTCTGTCTGTCTGTCTGTCTGTCTGTCTGTCTGTCTGTCTCCTGACCATCAGGTCACATGGTCAGTCTCTCCTTCCTGAGTTACAGTGTTGAATAATGACCAGGGTGTATTTACAGAACATGATGTCACAGTGAAGTTAACCTTTGACCTTTTGGATATAAAATGTCATCACTTCATTTTATCCTTATAGCCACACACTGCCCCCCCCCCCACTGCACTGTATGAATAGAACCATGAGAGTGAATGTGAAAGGGATGTTTTCACTCTGCTGTTGAAAGAGGAGTGAACCGTGTTCTTCTCTTTACCTCGTTGAAATGTGCGTCCTGAGTGGCCGTGAGTCCGAAGCCGCTCTGTTGGGTCTCGAAGGTCAGGAGGCGGGAAAGCAATCGCTCGGCGATCTGTAGGTCGTTGCCGTAGAGACGCGCGGTCGCCTCGGTGACGTCACGGAGCTGGTGGGCGAGCTTCTTCTCCATGATGGTGTTCAGCTCCGTCTCATTACGCTCCAGGGAATCGAGCTGAATGTATGGACACCAACAACACATGAAGAAGAGAGTCAATAACCTTCTAATGTTAAGAGACATTAGCACAGCGACACGACATATATACACATTACATATCTGCAGATTTCATCACTGACATCACGTCCTGCTCAACCTGTAGGTTTATTAAACAGGAGGACCTCTACAAGACTCCTGGCTCCGCCTCTACTTATTAAAATTAAAGCCTTTTCACACCAAGTCTGAATTTATTTTTTTAATCCGTCATCCAATTAAAATCGTTACACACAGAAACCTTGAAACGAGGAAACGAGTCCGTATGTAAATGTGATGGACTCAGTGTGACTTGCTGTTTAAAGGCCTTTGACTCCTCTAATGGGAGTTTTGAATTTACAGGTTAAGAACCAACCAGTTCTTAATCAGAGTCAAAGACAGTTCAGAGCTGGACACAGTCAGAGACACAAACAGGAAGTGTGAACCACTGGATTGTGGTTCTCTTAGATTCAGCATCCACAGTGTTCAGGTAGAAGACATGAGGATCTCTACATACAGCAACATTCAGCTCCACAAACGGAGGAGAGGTGCAGTTGTAAAGGTCTGGCTCCAGCCATCCTCTCTCTGCATCACAGTGTCTGATGGCTGCACCTGCAGGAGGACAAACAGGAAGTTCACAAGTGACCACAGCTTGTATGTGAGTGAATCCACGTCATGTGAGCGGATGAGCGAACAGACCGACTGAGCCTTTGGGGCAGGGCACTGCAGCAGGAAGGTTGAACTTGGTCCGAGGCCACCAGATCCCCTGAGTGATGGTCTTTGGACAACCGTCATAAATGACTGCAGAGAGAGAGAGAACAGCTCTTTACGTATCAGTACATGAACTCTATTAAAATAACAAACAGTCACTGAGAGACTGGAGAGGTTCTTCTTGTGAAGAAAATGAAAATAAAATACCAGCAACAAATGAAAGGAAGTAATTACAAGAGGAAAACCAGGAAGTGACAGAGCTGCACAGGGGACAAAGACAGGATAACTTGTAAAATAAAAGATAAATATAATCAGTTTATTAGTTATTTCAGGCTCGGGTGAAAGTCTGATAAACACGGGCATTTTAAAAGACAAGTTGAAGCTGAGATGGAACATGATTACAGTGATGAAGCTTTCCTTCATTTAAAATATTTTAAAATAGCTATATTCTCATTTGATATGTTTTGTTTCTACACATTATTGATATGATTTATTTTATTTTTCTTTTGTTTGTATTGGCTCTATGCAGGAAGGAGGAACTATGTTTGCACCTGTGTTGCAAGGGGACACTTTAAGTTCCCTTCAGAGGAACACGTGACGTTCTCTTCCTCTTGGTCGTGTGCAGCCAGCGAGGTGTTTATTTACTCTTCCGTGTGTCCTCCTGTATGTTTATATTTATGCTTCTGTAGTTTGTTGATATGAATATGTTTATTTTAGACAATGTTATGTATCTCATTAGTCTGATGGTGGTTACAAGTGCAGAAGACTAACAGTGAAGCGTGGTGTGGTCTATTTCCTGGAGGGACTGACAGTTCATGTGTATCTGTGTGGAAAATTCACTCAGTGTGAAAACTGGGTTTAAATCCAGCTTGAAAATGATATATCGTCTTAAACTTACACTTTACCAGTTGTTCTGTAGTTTATCACTGTTAAATACGTTTAGTTCAATAAAATTGTTCTGCTTTAATTTTAAATCCAGCTTCACAAACTCATTTCTCTCAACGTCTTTGATTCTTTCAGGAGCTGGAGATGGTGCTGACAAAATAAAGTCATTTTCCACAAATGATTCATTCATCCCCTTCAGTCAATACGCAGCCTGATTCCCCCCCGCTGCCACAGTTTCTGTTACTGTCAAGAGGACGCTTCATTTCTCCAAGTCTGACGTGACGATGAGCACAAGGACGAATGAGTGAATGAAGAGGAAGAGGAAGAAGAAGAAGAAGAAGAAGAAGAAGAAGAAGAAGAAGAAGAAGAAGAAGAAGAAGAAGAAGAAGAAGAAGAAGAAGAAGAAGAAGAAGAAGAATCCCTGTTGAGTCATTTTGAAATCTTACAGTAGAAACATCATTCTGGTAAAACTGAAACAAAGGAAATCCTCAAATAAACAGTTCACAGTTGTCTGCTGGCGATCAGCCACAGTCCGTCCTTCTCACCGTCACAGCCTGAGTTCGTGACCTCTGCAAACGGGTTGTCACATGTGTTGCACTGGCGACCAATCACGCCAGGCCTGCACTGACACTGGCCGGTTTCTGGGTCACATGAGCGCGAGAAGGAGCCGACCGGGTAGCAGTCACATGGCAGGCAGGTGTCAGAGCCCCGCGGACGGTAGTGAAACTCCTGAGCGAACACACACACACACACACACACACACACACACACACACACACACACACACACACACACACACACACACACACACACA